AATGCTGAAACATGACTCACTGCATTTGGAAGATTTGAAACACTTTTCATTTGCATGCTTTGAAAGATGGCTAATAATTCAGACCTAGTCCATGAAAAATATAACTAGAAAGAAATGTCTTAATGACCTAACAAGAGTTTGTGTCACTAATTTGCTATTGTTCAAGAAGCTGAAACTTTGGCATAAGAAGTCCTGTGCAGGTAAATCTTTAGCTCTACAATGGCATCTCCAGATAGGCAAACAGATCAACCTTTCAACTTTTCAAATTGCATGGACTAATGATAGATTTTAGAGCTCATTTTTCCAGAAATTAAATGTCTATTTAATTTTGTTTTCAGTGATAATATTCTGTTGTTGGTAATCCCTTTCAGTACTGATGTACCAGCAGTGATCTCAATTCCCTTGTGTATTTTTTTCTGTTTTCTTTCTTCCTTCTACTTTCCATGTGACCAGAGAACTCTCAATTGAAAAGACCAGTTTTCTGAATAAAACTCTACCTATTGCAGAAAAAAACATCATGATTTGTCTTGAATAGATATAGAAGGAACTTCTGTTCATATAGATGACAAGTAATTTGCTGATATACTGCATTTTTGTCAGGTGGTGGTTCAGTCCATAGGAAATACTATAATGATTTATAAAGTATAGTAATATATAAAGCAGTAGTACATAAAGAGGAAAGCACTGCAGTTCGCAGCAGCATAGAAAGCAAAGATGATGTCTTAGGATGATGTCCCTTGCCATCCTTTCTGTCTCAGCATATAGTCTTTCAGGTTCATGAAGAAACATCTTAGAGCCAGCAGGATATCTTCTTACATTGTTCCTGATTATGGCTCTCTTAGAAACTCCAAGGCCTGATTGCTGGAAATGCTACTTCAGCTTGAAGGAATATAGCATACTGTAAGGATGCAAAAAAATGGCAGCTCCTGATCAATCTAAGAACTCTTTCTAGCCAGTGTGTCTCTGGCTGCAGGCAACAGCAGATGCCTCATCATTAGAGACATGAGCACATGGCAAACAAGAGCTGATGTTTCCTTGGTATATTCTCCCTGTAACATGCAGATTTCCATTCTCAGAGGTCAGACTGTGGTTTTCTTGCAGCCACCAAGTGCTACCTTTTTCTATCAGAGTACCACTGAAGCCACAATCAAGCCATAGAGGTAAGATAACTTTAGATGTGAATTTCACACTCTAAGATTCATTTCACTCAGTGTATTGTAGCATCTTTTCTTTCTAAGCAGTCTCGCTTTTTATGCTATGCTGTAAGGCTAATTATTCTCAATTTATTTGCACAGCCCTGCATTTGCCATCTATTATTCCCAAAATATAAAATGATCTGAATTCTTTTATATCTGGCTGCACTGCCTAATTATTCCTCATTTGTTTTTATTCTCTTCCAATTTAGTATCATCTGCAAAGTTGAAATCATGTTTTCATATCATAATTAGACCTTTAAGAACCTAAGAAAACTGCTTGGTGAATAAGCATGCAAAAGGGTTTGTTTTTTTTTTTTTCTCCTATTCTCATTCTAATGGAGATTTGAGGAGAGACAATAAATTAGAAATGCATGAAATGATGAGTTAAGAAATTCAAGTTGTTTGCCTATAGGCTGTAATGTTACAGCAGCCAGAAGCGACACGAAAAAGTAGTTATGATAAGGAAGTTGGTTAGGAATGACTGATAAGGATGTAGAAGATGAGTTGCCGTGCCCAGCTCCTCACCCACTCTGCCACATTAGAAGATGTGCTTGTTTGGACAGGGCGCCTGCATGGATGTGTCAAGGTTTAAAAGTTCCCTTCCTGTTCTGCCCCACTAACAAATAGTCAATGTGCAGAGGACAACTGATTACCAGCTGTGGCTTTGATGCAGACTTAAATTTCTACCTTTTAGAAGTAATTATACCCTTAAGGTTAGAGATTAGCCCACCATTAAAATATGGCTTACAGTATTTTCTGCATCTCGGAGATACACATATCTCATCTGAAGAATAAGGAAGATACAGGCACACTCACTGCATGACAGAAAAAGGCTCTTTTAATTATGTTACTTAGCATATTGTGGCAGAAATCAAAAAGTTTGATGTTTTCTAATGCCAGCAAGGCAGACCAACTCAGTAACCTTTATTTCAGTCATGTGTGTATCTGGAAGACTCTGTCTTAAATAGAATAAGTGCCATAGAAAATGATTTTTTTATATTTTTTAGTTTTTGTATGCCTTTGTTTCAAATAGTAGCAGTTGAATGCATTGTTTAAAGTTTTATGGAGCTGTAGGTAATTCAAATCACTACAGTCCTCCTTGTGGCCTTCCAGTACTTGAAGGGAGCATATAAACAGGAGGGGGAACAGCTGTTTATGAGGGTAGATAGTGATAGGACAAGGGGGAGTGGTTTTAAACTGAGACAGGGAGGTTTAGATTAGATATGAGGAGGAAGTTTTTCACACAGAGGGTGGTGAGGCACTGGAACAGGTTGCTCAAGGAGGCTGTGGATGCCCCATCCCTGGAGGCATTCAAGGCCAGGCTGGATGTGACTCTGGGCAGCCTGGTCTGGTGGTTGGCAACCCTGCACATAGCAGGGGGTTGAAACTAGGTGATCATTGTTGTCCTTTTCAACCCAGGCCATTCTATGATTCAGATTTTCACAAATGTGAAAATAGGGTGAAGGATGTTTTGTATCATCAACAAACAAAAATCTACAAGGTGTGCTGAATATCTCTCTTCATGGTTTATGTTTCAGTTTGTATTCCTCTGACCAAGATTAATGTTTGAATCTGCAAAACTTTCATACAAGGAGCAAATGTCCAAGTATAGGATCAGCTCTGAAACCACAGACCTTGTTCAGGGATTATCCCTCTTTCTCCTCATTTCCAGGTGGTGTTGTTCTGCTACTTACACTACACAGACATGTAACCATCTGTAGCTGATTTCCAGCAGGGAACCATAGAGCCTTCCCTTTGTGAGTTTGGATTGGTGCAGACTTTGCACGTGCACCACGAGTTTATGATGACCTTGCTATCTTCCTCTTTCCACTTCAAACAGAGCTCAGAAGAGGCCACCCGCATTAACCTGCCCCTTCATGCTGGTCCTATGACCTTGATTCTGTTGTGAGAAATAAAATTAGGGGAGACAGACCATGAGAAGTAAGCTATGGCTTGACTTCAGCTGCTTTGGTGCTCCTGTGAATTCAGGCATGAAAAGTGAAGCTTGTTTTGCAAAGTCACTTTCACTGGAAAAGGGAGTGACAGGTACTTCTGGGAATGAGATTGGGTGAGCCATCACACCTGTGGAGATGGTCTGAGTATCTCTGGGTCTGACTCCGATTTCCCCTGGTAGTGTCAGTCAGGAACAGCTCCTCCAAATTCAGAATAGTTGCACTAGTGAGAGTATTAGCATACGGCATTGGAAATCAGAGTCACATCAGGCCTCCAAGAAGGGATGCGTTTTTTAATTGCAGCCTATGGGGTTTTTTTGGCCCAAACTTTGCAGGCATATTCAACTACAGGTACAGCTTAAATCATTTATATGTATTCTTGACTGAGAAGTCAATCAGTTAATGTCCTGCCTGCAAAATTATGCCCATGAGTATGTGCAGCTGCTGTTTTGAGTGAGCAGAAGGGACACGTTACTTTGTACTTCAGTGACTTTTATTCTTCCCTGCAGGATGTCCAAAAGAAGGAATACATTTCTAAAAAGTTGTTTGATCCTAATAGGACGGGATATTTAAAAACAGTTATTAAATATTAACTCTGCAAGGCAAGGTTAAGGGCATTTGTGTAACTTCATGTTTTTCCATAAATCTATCAGACATTACTCTTAATTGTAGCCTGAACTACAAATTCATAAAGTTTAGAATGATGACATTTCCGCAAAACCAATGATGTTGCTGGGCCATGGAGTCATTTATCATGGAATGCAAAAATGTTCATGAGATAATTGCAGTGAATACTTTAACGTTTGCCTCTGCTCTTGGACAGATCACCCTGAAAATGCATTACACTGTTCTTCAAATGCATGGCTGGTCTCCTAAATCTCACGTATGCTTTCTCTTCCCTCCTAGATGATTCACAGATTTTACAAGGGAGTAAATTATTCACAGATTATGGATTTTAAGAAAAAATGTTCTTTATTACTAACACAAAGCTTGTATGTTTCGTGTTTTATAGTATGCTATATATATTTTAATTCAGGAACATTTTCCTGAATGTTCCTAACGTTTCTCTAAATACTCTGAATAACTGGCAATGAAACCCAATGCATTACAGGAATCTTTTATTCTTATGTCATTAAAATGCTAAAGCAACTCCAAGAAGTCAAGAATTGAAGTCTAAAAGGAACAGGGACTAAGAGGACTAAGAGACCTCTGAATGATGTAATTTTTAAACTTGGAGAAAGGAACTGTGATCTTTATGATGAGAAAACACATTTGAATAAAGAGTTGTGTCAACAAGGTTCTCTCTTTTCATTTCTAACATTATTCTTTAGGTTCTTGGTATGTTTTTTTTTTTTTTTCCAATTTACCAAAGACTGCACCCCGTACTTTGAGGTGTTTGTGAGGCAACATCGATATGTAAGAGAAATACCAGTGTAAGAGAGTATAAATTTTATCTGCAGACATGGTTAAATGTAATTAAGTAGGAACTACATAGAATTCCCCCATTACACCTGAATTAGGCTGAGAGGGATGTGGAGTAGTTTTGAAAAAATTAGTGTAATTTTGGACTCTTTGTGATGCAAGTTCCTTCAGATTTCATGGCTTTGTCACACTTGAAATGGTGTGTACAGAGCTGATCAGCCATAAAACTATCTTTTATTTGAAATTAAATGTGGAGAAATTTAAATTGTTCTGTGTGTATACAGACATAAGTAGCTCATCTTTGGCAGCACTCAGATTATTTATACTGCAGCTGCAGTAAATTTGAGTTGCACCAAATGTAGCTCTCTAAATGTCAGCTCAATTTTCTCAAGACCTACTTTTCACTTGTTATAAATATTGCTTGTTACAGATGCTCTTCAAAAGGGAATGCCACTCTGGGTGCAGTCAAAGTGTGCAGAGGGATATGGATCATGACAGAACAGTTATTTATTTTCTTCTAAACAATGAGCAAAGTGACCTTAGTCTGCATTTAAGGATTTTGAGGGTGTGGGAATTCACCTTCTCTATAGGTAGGTATGCAGATAACTTTCCCATAACTTCTGTTTACTGCAGTTATTGTTAATGTAAAAGTTTGGTACATAGCATGGAGGTAAGTCTCACGTCACCATTTTTTCTAAAATTGAATTACTACAGTCAAGAAAATGTTCATTAAAAAACTGGTAAAGGAAAAGTGAAAATTTGAAAAACAATTCATATAGCCTTCTTAACTGATGATAATTTTCAAATATCTCCAAATACTGTCTTTGTGTGTGTGTGTCTGTGTGTGTGTAACAAAAGCAAGAAGAGAATTCACCATTTATAAGTTAAGGTCTTCAGATGCTGCCAAGCAATTAGATGGCCCTTAATTTACAGCTGAAAAGTGAAGAGTCAAATCCTGCATCCTTTTCAGAATCTTATGAAATGCTGAGCTCAGACTCAGTTTAAATTCTTACCTGTTTCATTGATAACAGATAGAACATTCATCTCTATATAAAGAAGTTGGATTACAATAATAATTGATTGTAATTTTCTTGATTGAAGAGATGACAATTTTCTATTTTTACATCAAGTGACAGTACAGAAATTAGGAGGATTTGTGTGCACCTGGGACAGACTTGGAAGAAAAGTGAATTATCTTGTAAAATGGCTTTTGAGTAGACAGATAACTATGAAACTTCAAAGGCTGTTCTGTCCCCAGTTATGCAATTATAGCTGGTTATATTTGCTTGAGTTTGGTGGAAAAAAAAAAAAATCTATGTTCTTAACTATAGAGTTTTTAAGACACCTGTTATCTTTGTTATTCCTTTTGATGTGAATTCCACAATGGGGCAATGCCAGTGTAGCAGATTTTGCTCTGAATCTGTTTTTGTCTTCCGGATATTGTTGATCCTACTTACAGCGTGTTGATGTTTTCATTTCTGACTAGCCACCTTTAATTAATCAAAGTCATAGCTTCAGACCATCATAAATCAAGCAGGTAGGTGTCCTTATTTTTAAAGTGAAGAGTTATTTTTCATTGGGGTTTAACTGGTTACTTGTTAATCTAAACCTGGCGCTGGTTAAATGGAACGTTAATAACAGGAAGAAATATTGAGATGGGAATAGCTCCACAGAACTTGCCATAGCCATATCTTATTTCTCCTGCTTCACACATTTCTATCTGAAATACTTCCAAATCATTTCCCCTGCTATGTTAAGTGTCTAATTTTTATTGATCTTACAGATTACTCATTGAAATTTTCACCAGTTACCTCAACACACATTAAATTATTGCCATGGTTTTCTTGTTATTCTAACTTCAGTTATGCTTCATTATTAATCAAAAACTATTCTAGCGCGACAAGAAATATTGCAACTTAACAAAATTATTGCCAAATGAGACACCTCGTTCTTCTTCTGAAAGAATTTTAAGAGGAGATATGTAATGCAACTACTCTGAATCCATTTCCAGAGCATTTCTTTTCCCACTGTGAGCCTTGGCACTGTGATTCCATGGATTTATTACTCTCTTTGCCCATCCTCAGACTCTAGAGAAGTCAATGGTGTCTGCTTCCAGAGCCTACTGGGGACATAATAGAGGCTGATGCTGCTGATGTAATACCCTCAGGCATGTTCTCAGGGCTAAAGTGATCCATGTAGTCTGGGGAGAATTCATGGTTATTGATATAGCTACCAATTGTAACTTTAAAAATGGAAGCAGAAATTTCTTTGTGTTATGTCCACACACAGAAAAGAAATAATTAGTTCTGGTTTTTAGCAAACATTCTGATTTAGTTTCTCAGAATCTAGGAAGCTTGCTGTGTACTTAGCAGTACCAGTCCTTTTACCTGCATGGAGATTTAACCTAGGAAGCCTAAAAATAAATGGGAGGATATATATATATATGGAGTATAAAAGAGCATATATATATATGGAGTAGAAAAGAGAGTGAAAAATAAATCAATTAAACTAGAATATTCTGAAAAAAAATTTATGCTATGCTGGAGGAACAAGTACAAATACTTTAAGTGTTTGGGTTGGCTAGGAAACTTCATTGAACATTGGAATTAGATCCACTTGAGAGCATGAAAAAGCACCCCTGCTCTATACAATAATGCCACAAGTCTTCAGCTTTTGTGATTGATATTAATGCAGTATTATGCTCTCAATAAAGAATGTTTACATTTCAATTGTAGCTTCCAGCTTGAGCTCACAATTCACATTTATTTTGTAAAAGAGTTAAGTTCCATTACAGTAAAGCCCAGTTTCATTTTTCATCTTGAGTGTGCCATGTAAACTTGATTTCTTAAGCATATTTTCCATCTCTGGTATTTTCTTATTAGACTCAGCATATTATGACATTTTCAAGATGCTTTCTATTTATAACTTAACATTATACAATGTCAAGAATAATCAAAAGCATAAAGAGATGACAGAGAAAAATCCCATTTAATATGATCTTTTCAGGTCACAGTTCTGAGTTTCACTTAGTATGCCTGTTTTGTGAGCTAAAAATACCTTTTTAGCAAATGAAACATACAAACAAAAGTTAACAGAAAAAGGACATGATCACATAGCTACTTTATAATCGCAGGGTCTTAAAATTCAGTGCTAGGTGAACTCATCACAGATATCTCAGGATTGCTGTCCAGTCTTTAGAGTGACTGACTCAATGAATTGATATACCATCAGCTAATAATTCCTCTTCTTTTTGGACACCATTTTATCTCATTGTTTTTTTCATATGGTCTTCATTTTTTTTTGTCTTGAGGACAAAGAGCAGCTACAGCTTTAGTATTTATTCTGCATGCCTTTATTGGATTGAAAGAGGTACTATCCTCAGAAATCTAAATCATTCCTGTTATTTTGATACAATGACTTTATGACTGGCAAATTTTGATTTAATATTTCTTCAATTTATTTATATACATATAAACATCTTCTTAAAATAGGTCCAACTGCTATTTCTATCAGCTGATTGTTTCACTTTTTTTACTTTTAGGATTATGGCTCCACTGAGCTTCAGCCTGTCAACTATTTGTGTAAAACCGAAGCATTTATCTGATAGATAAATGCTGAATCAGATGATGGTAGTGCCTATTTGTGTTCAGAGTTGGTGTTACCATTTGAATCCTTCATTATGCCAGTAAAAAGAGAGCAAAGCATATGATGAAGCTGCGGAGGTCTTGGACAAATCATCTCTCTGATCTTGATTGGCTGTGCAAGAGGATAATTATCATCTCCCTTTTTCTTTCTCCCTATGGAGCTGATGGTGCTTCTGGTTAGGCAGAGTAGAAAGAGACCTTTAAACCATATTGCCAGTTCATAGAATCATGGAATATCATGAATTGGAAAAAGGACCCATAAAGATTGAGTCTGGCTCCTGGCTCCACACAAAACTGTATCTGTGTTTCCAGCAGCTCTGCTTTGCTCTGCTCCTTTCCTCTTGTTACTTGATAGATACAGTGGGATCATGCAAGTATCACAAACCTGGTTGTGATGAGAGGAGCGGTGGTTGACATGAGGATTGTCAAAGAGATATGTAAAAATGGTGAATAAGAGTAATTTATAAGTTACAGACGATTAAGCTTTAGTCTGACATGAACCATTGTCTGGATACTCATGGTAGAATCCACAGTCCTGAGTTAGAGTCTAAGTTTCTTACATGGTGTAAAAAAGATTGTATGATTCATAACGGTTTACACAACCCTAAGTAGGGAGCTACCTAAGGCAGCAATAGCAAAGCTCAGAGGACCCTTATTTTATATCCCCACCCTCTCCGAAATGCTTAACTGTACATTTTTCTCCACACATGATTTATAGTCATGTAAGTAGGCACTTAGTTTCTTCAGAAAACAAACAAACAAGCAAACAGACAAACAAACAAACCCAGACAGAGAGAGCATGAATTAATCTTCTAACAAGAAGCCAGAGAAGAAGTAGGTGGTGATTCCTCTCACCTCCTCTTCACCTTCTTTTCATATGGGAACAGAGTACATCCCATTTTAGTCCTTTTTTCACTTTTAGCACAAACTCCATCTGACCTGGAAAGTTTTCCAGCATATCGGCTGCTTTTGAGCATAAACACTTTCAAACTCTGTCCCTGAATATATAGCAGATTGCATAGAAGAGTTAAATATGCAGAAATATTGAGACGAAAGTTAGAGTAACTCTGATTTTTCAGTATAGGTTATTTCCGTGGGTATAGCAGACTTTGTGTTTCAAGGACAATTAAGTTGTTTTCTGCTACGTATGCAGGAAATAATGCATGGAAACATTTGTAGCAGATACTGTTGTCAAGGACTGTCCCTTTGGAAAGTGTTCCTCTTGCCAGCTGCTCTACAGAAGCCATCTTGCTTCTTTATCTGTCTCAGTAAGTGTGAAAAAACAAGATGTGACCCAAATTAAATACCTAAGAAAATTACTGTGCAAACTTAAATAAGTCTCTTTGAAAATTTTAGAAATTGATCAAAATAATTTGGTTATTTCTTTACTTCATTGGAAAGAAATTTGGAGTCAGTAAAACAATTGAAGGGGAGGAAAGTTGCAAGCTTGAAAATAGAAAGAATACAGACAAAATGGTGAGCATAACAAAATGGATACAAAAGGGAAGTTCTCTGTAGAAAAAAAAAGGCAAGATTGGAGTAAAACATTCAAGGAGGACGATGGTGTGAACCAATGAGAACTACAGGTGTGACTGTTGCAAATTGTGATAGACTTGTTGAATGGCACTGCTTGGAATGAACAAGTTTGCACTGCAGCAGTCTTAAACAAGGACCTGCTACAGATTAAATAATGATCTAACAGTAGACAAAAATAGTTACCTAACAGATAAATATATAAACAAGTATGCATTTAAATTTGGATAGTCAAAGGCTTGCCTTGTGTTTTAATGTGTCATGTTGATAGGTTGTTCACCATAATGACTGCCTCCTTGTTTATTTGGACACTAATTATTGTTGGTAGCATAGTTTTGCCAACCTCTGCTAACTGCACATGTATATGTACAACCACCTCCTCTCTATCTGCATATGGAGAAAACGTTTGTCAG